TCTAGACTCATTTCTGGGAAATACAGTGGACTATTGCCTATTGCACCCAAGTGCAGAAGTGGCCTGCATTACATTAGTTCCTGCAGCAGTTGCCCCATACTTTAATATTTTTTTATTTTTTATTTTTATTTTTTATTTATACATACCCCACCCATCTGGCTGAGTTTCCCCAGCCATTCTGGGTGGCTCCCAGCAGAATATTAAAAACATCAAACATTAAAAACTTCCCTAAACAGGGTTAGCTTCAGATACCTTCCTTGCCTTTAAAGATTTCTAGAAAAGAAAATTATCAATTTTCACAAGGTTATTGTTCCAAGCCTGAAGTTCCTGCAGAAGAATCTTATTCTTAACCAAGAGCCATAATACTGGTTCCTCCGATAGTAAAAACAGAATCAAAACCAAAATGTGGCCGCGATGAAGCAAGGGGAAGGGATTAGCATATTTGTGGGAACCTTGAGGTCTCCAAAAGGGCAGTTTGGTATTTTAAAAAATGCCTAAGAGGGTAAAAACTGTTGGTTGCATCCTCAGTAACTACGGAATGCTGAGCGCCAGCTGGAAAAGGCGGCCAGTTATCTCTCCTCCTTGGAAATGGTGGGCGGGACCCTGAACAGGGGAGGCAGATCCATTAAGACAGGGGTCAGCAAACTTGTTCAGCAGGGGACCGGTCCACCGTCCCTCAGACCTTGTAGGGGGCCGGACTATATTTTTGGGGGGAAATGATGCAAGAGCACCACGAGCCCCATTGGCTGCTTACCTGTGTCTTGCGAGCGGCAGGGGCTGGCGGCAGCAGCGGCAGAGGGATGATGAGCAGTGCACTAAAGGGCTCTAGAGAGGGGCTGCTTTAAATGGCGGCCGCTCGAGCGTTGTTGCTGCTGGCACCAACAAAGCCCAGTCCTCTTCCTCCTCTAGGCAGGGCATGGAGAAGCCAGGAGGAGGGAGGGAGGAGGCGGCGCCGCCGTGTGAGGAAGAGGGAGGGAGAGGGAAACAACGCATGCGCTGGCGATCCACACGGCAGTTCCCGGACCGTCCGCTGGCCGGATCCAGAAGGCAATTGGGCCTGATCCTGCCGCGGACCTTAGTTTGCGGACCCATGCATTAAGGCCAACCTGTCTGCCTTCAGTCAGATCGTGCCTGCCTGCCATCTTACTTAAAACAAGTCAGAGGTGGCTTTGCCTGTCATTGGCTCTGGCTCCACCAACTGTTGGGTCTCCTGCCCTACCAGTCCAAATGGGCACCAGTCGCCTTTTAGGAGGACGAATACACTGCAGCATTTTGTTGCAGATTCCACTTGTGGCTTTCTATTGCCTGGCTGGACGCATGCTAACCATTATTGTAACTGGTCAGCAGCTTGACACCTGCTACAATATTATGAGAGGGCCTAGTTCTCTCAAGCCAGTGTTCGTTTCATCTAGCCAGTGTAATACCACAACACCAGAAACTCAGAAGGCAGGCATCCATAACTTATTGCTGTGCAATAATGATAAAGTGCACAATTTAGAGCAACTTATTGAATTCTCTAAAACCCTCCCCAAACCATATGCAGTGTGGTTCTGTGACGTGCCCTTTTGTCTGCAGACAGGGAATGGAACAATTATTTTTCTTAGGCTGCTTATTGACCCATATAAAGGTAAAGGTAAAGGGACCCCTGACCATTAGGTCCAGCCATGACCGACTCTGGGGTTGTGGCGCTCATCTCACTTTAGTGGCTGAGGGAGCTGGCGTACAGCTTCCGGGTCATGTGGCCAGCATGACTAAGCCGCTTCTGGCGAACCAGAGCAGCGCACAGAAATGCCGTTTACCTTCCCGCCGTAGCGGTACCTATTTATCTACTTGCACTGTGACATGCTTTCAAACTGCTAGGTTGGCAGGAGCAGGGACCGAGCAACGGGAGCTCGCCCCATCACGGGGATTTGAACCGCCGACCTTCTGATCGGCAAGCCCTAGGCTCTGTGGTTTAACCCACAGCGCCACCCACGTCCCTATTGACCCATATACTAAACGCATTGTTTACCAGGGTGATAGTTGCTCACATCAATCTCGAATAATAAAAATAATAATAATTGTAGCATCCATCTGCTGGCTGGGTATAAACGAGTATGTGCACCCTTTGAGAGTCCCCATCAATCCCCCTAAATCAAAGCAGCTTCACCAAAAGCTTTTAATATCACTTGGCAGAATGTGTGCTGCTTTTGGCAAAGAAACTTTGCAGAACTTTTTTGGGGGGAGTGTGGGCTGGGGGGGAGGGCAGAGGCCGACTTGCGACTTTACCCTAATCTTAATCCAAACAGCAAATGCAGCACACTCCCTGACAGCCGGTAGCTGCAACTCATCAGCCACACCACATGTGTCGCTTGTAATGCACAGATCTCTAAAGAAATAAACAGAGGCTGTTGTGGTGGGTGGATTCTGGTTGATGCAGGAACCTGCAAAGCCTACCAGATCTGCCCTTCATAGAAATGCAGTAAGACACCGAGAAATGGATACAGCAGCATAGATGCCTATAAAGTTAAGGTTTTTGTTACTTCTGGTTTTTTCCTTAGAGCAGCAGTACATGGAGATCCACGATGCTTGCGTTTTATGAACTTATCATGGCACATCAAGGTGGCAATGCTTATGTTCCCCCGCCCAAATGTTGCAACACAAACTTGGTACAGTGGTACCTTGGTTTAAGAACAGCTTAGTTCATGAACAATTTGGATTAAGAACACTGCAAACCCAGAAGTAGGTGTTTTGGTTTGTGAACTTTGCCTTGGAAGCAGAACATGTTGAGTGTGTTCCATTTGTAAATTGAGTCCCCTGCTGCTATGGGAAAGCACGCCTTGGTTTAAGAACGCTTTGGTTTAAGGATGGACTTCTGGAACGGATTAAGTTCGTAAACCAAGGTACCACTGTATATGGGAAATATCCAGGAAATGCAAGTGTCCTTTCCCATAATGTACTCTCCCAAGCACAACACAGGAAGCCAATTGTGCAGACTAGTTGCCCTTGTTGGAACCATCTTCATCATCTGTGTTAGCTACATGCACTGGCAGGTAAAGAAGAGCAGTGATGAAGCAGGTGATGCTGAGGACCCGACTGGAGAGCCACTGCCACTCAGAGCTGCCAGTGCTTGGGCTAGACAGACCAAAGGTCCAACTGCTTGTACAAGGCAGCTTCCCAGGTTCTGCTCAAGAAGGCATGGAGAGAGAAAGACAGGGCTGTCTCACAACACAATGAAACACACAACTGGAAAAATATTCTGGCACTCTCCATGCCCTATAATAGCAAAGAGAGAGGGGGGGAGAGGGAGAAGGAGGAGAGGGAGAGGGAAAGAGAGAGAAACAACTCTTAGCTACCTCCATGGCCATGGAAGGAATTAGCTGGAGGAGGAATGTGGTGGAACAGAGCAACAATTCAGGTGTAGAAGGCCCTTTTCCAGCACTTTGGAGAATACAGTTGTTAGCCAGTGATGCTTCTCATGGGAAGCACACAAGAAGAGCATGGTAGAAGCAGCCACTCCTTGTTTCTTTTCTCCAGCATCTGCCAAAACAGAGGTATACTGCCTCTGAATATGTAGGTTCCATTTTAGCTATTGTGGCTAGGCAACGAGAGGAAATGGGGAACTGCCTTGAAATATTGTTCATGGTGCAGCTATATAGCAGAAACCATTTCTACGTGCCTCCAAAAACATGACATCTGTTTGCAATATAAAGGTATCCAAAAAATGGGAAACCGTAAAACAAGTACAAAGGGGTGCCTAATTGAACGAAGGATGCCCATAATTGTGTTTGTTCTAAGTTGCCTTTTGATTGGTGCTGATACACTAATGAGCGGCCCCATCAAACAGCAAAAGAAAAACCCAGAGCTTCTCATTTTTCCACCATTTATTATCAGACTTCTTTGTTCATTTCATGGGCATGTTACTCCAGCTGTTTCCTCTAATCAGATCATCTCCACACCACCTCTCTCTCTCAAGCCTTTTCAGCAGATCACAGTCACAAAGCAAAACACCATTGCTATCTTCCCTAATTTTGCAGTCACAAACTAGCAATTTAACTAAACAATATCATATGATTGCCCAAACAGTTGCACATGCAGCTCCTGTTGCTCTGTCTCAAGGCAAATCTAAAAATATGTAGTATAAACACCAACAATTGGGAAACACTGGCCTGCGAGCGCTCCAGTTGGAGAACAGTCTTTACCAAAGGTGTCATGGGCTTTGAAGATGCTCGAACTCAGGGCGCAAGAGAGAAACATGCTAAGAGGAAGGCACGCTTGGCAAATCCACCGTTATCAACTGCCTCCCAGAAACCAATGTCCCCACTATGGAAGGACATGTGGATCCAGAATTGGCCTCCACAGTCACTTACGGACTCATTGTTAAAACCATGTTTATGGAAGACAATCTTACTTGGCTACGAGTAATCGCCAAAGAAGAACCTGCTATGCTCCTTCAACACTTTGCCACTATTTATTGACAACTGCTGACTTTGCCTACAATTCTGACTATCGTTCATTCAATTCTACGATGCTCTTTAGGAGCTCAAATAAATCAATACTATGGTGCTCCGAGAGCTTAAACAAATCAATGAAAGAGCATTAGCTGTACTGTTTCTCTGTCAGCCAGAGGTGTAAACAAGGGGAGTTATGACCGTGTATGAAATGTAGGAATGTAGCATATATGATCCAATGCTCAACAGTATAGCGCTGCTTCAACTGGAGTGATCATGAAAAGAACAGTTTAACACCATTTGTAGCTGCTGTGCATACAGTGTTGTTGGCGTACAAACACTTGAGCATACTGTAGAAATATTAACCTGCAGTTGCTGCTATTAGTGCTTGGCTGTTTTGCTAACTGGTATAAATACTCTTTATAGCCAATGTCCAGAAAGTAAAAATGGTTGCACATGCAAGACTCAGTGGCAATTTCTTCCCAAGATAACTTGGAAGAGGAACAGCAAGAAACTGCAAGATGCACAGAGATCAACCTTATTAAAGGGAAAGTGGTAAATTGACCTCACCTTAGAAGAATCACATTGTTTGACATAAAGGCTCCTATCGTCACATCTGAAAATAAGAGAAAACATTTAGAGAAATTTGCACAGGTGCCCAGCATCCACATCCAAAACATACTAAAGTTGTTAAAAACAAATCTCTCCCCTCTTGCAATGTAATATTCCCAGTTAATATATTCTACCATTAATATCTTGCATATCATAACATGCATCTCAGCGTGGTCCACACATCCAAAAGAAACAGACATAATCAAGGTACCCAGGTTCACCACAGAAAGCAGAGTTGCCTGACCACCATCCAGTTATCAACTTGCAGTTATCTACTGCTTTTGCCCAAAAACTGGTCATTGGCAGTTGCCCTTTGGCTAATCAGAGACCAATTTCATGGTTTGTGAAGGTACCATAGTCGTTGGTTTTTTAAATTTCACATTAGTTGAGATTTATCATCCTCTTCCTAACAGGTTGTGTGATCAGGGGGAAAGGATTATTTACTGCTGCTTAGATCTGTTCCAAAGGAAATAATTTAGTCCAACTACAAATAAATAAATACTCTGAAACATGTGGACATTTTTTTTAAAAAGAAGGAAACAAAAGGGAATTGGGTGTATACACAAAATTGGTCCTTCCTTCCTTCTTCCTTTTATTTCCCAACTTTCCTCCAAGCTACTCAAGATGGTATACATTGTCCCCCCCTCCATATTATATCACAACAATCCTGTGGGGTAAGTTTGGCTTAGTTAGTGATATGTACATTCTCCCCTTCATTTTCTTCTATTTCTATGATCTTTTCATTCATATTATCCATTCTTCCATTCCATTTCATCTGTTTGTTGTTTGTATTCTTCTTCTTTACCAGTATTACAAACCTACCTGGATAGCCATTTCCATCCATGTCAACTCCTCCAGAAATGGACTGGCCAAACATCTGTAACATTGGGCTTACTCTCCTCCCAGGTATCCTCTGCAACAGACAACACAGAACTGGAATCAATGGAACCAAGAAAAACATAGCACCGAAGTTGCTTACAATCCGTTGGATTCAATGGCAAACCTCAATAGTTTTCATGGAATTGGAATGCCTGAGCTGGAACCACACGTCCATTCAGGTCTCACTGTTAACCGAGGGAAATAAAATAAAAAGGGACATGCAAGGTTTTCCAGCTCTTCTGAATTGTCACACACTGGATCTAATTCACCGACATTACACCTCCTCTGTTCAGGGCTATTCTGTTTGAGGCAACATGTAAGCAATGGCACTGGGTTATTTGCAAGAAAAAGAGGCTCTATCTACATGCTCCTTAGCACATTGTTCATTCTTCTGAACCACCTGTGTGAGAATTCACCACTATCTGCCCCCCAAAAGTATAATGTGCGATTCTACTAGTGACTCTCTCAGTCAGTTTCAACAGAGTAATATTGATTCCTGCTTTGAGTGTGTGATTTGTGAGATCTCTTAATAAGATTTCAACTCAGAGCAAGGTCTCCAATCCCTAACAGCACTCTTGGTCCAAGGCAGTTGTCAACTGACCCTCTGCTGGCCCATTTAACAGATGGATGGGTTCACAGAGCCCTTAGCACAGACCATGCAGAAAAACGTTGTAAAATACTGAACACGACACCTCCGTTTTGTAGAAGGGGGTGCAATGATTGTCCTGCACTTTCAGTTTAGTGCTAAAGCATCAATCTGGCTGGATGCAAAGCTCCCAGGTGGACATGGATTAGAAAAAGAAATGCAATAGGTGGTAATACTGACCAACTGTCAGCTGGGAAATTAATAGAAAACAACGAATATCTCAAGCTTAAAGGAAAGGAAAGCACTCTAAAACTTCTTCTCTTAAAAAAGTAAGGAAGAAAACTTTCCCACTCTTGGACCTGATAACACTAAAGCAACTGAAAGCAGCTGAACTCCTCAAATTACATTTACACAAGAGAATGTGGCTAGGTTTTTGCGGGGGGTCCCTGTTAGGGTGGCACACCAGGGCTACGCATATCCCACAGACATCTGCAGGCTATTAGGGTATAAAGATTGCAGTATAATGCTACACAGCTTTGAGAGCTGCAGACAGAACCAAAGGCCCTGAAACCTAGCCTGATAATATTTATCTAGCGTACACATTTATCTGCAAGCCAATTAAAAGTGCTTCATCTGTATCCAAATCTCGCTGCAGCAGAGGTAAAAATCAGGCATTCAGAATGAAATGGGAGGGGTAGGAGTATCTCACTGTAAACAAATGATCCTTTCTTCTAACATAGATTGTATACGTGTGTGTATGTTTTTTAATACACAGCATCTGGATGGTTCAGAGTTCCAGTAATGGGACACAAAGCCTTTCACCCCAAGGTTACTGGTTCAAATAGAGGCCAGGTAGACAGACACTACAAATTAAACATATGAAACAGCTTGATGGATTTGTAGCCAAATGACCTTCAGCCCTTTCCTTGAGGACAAGGCACAGCACTAAAACATGGCAGAGAGAAAGAGAGAGGCTGAACACAATGAAAAGTAATGGAAACTAGCTGGCAAGAGCACACCCTGAAGAAGATCACAAAAGCTGAAGACTAATCTGCTCAGAGACAGCAGTGTCAACTGCACTGTTTTCTATGATTAAGCTGTCTCCTTCTGAAATGCCTATATTACCTCAAATATGTAAAAATTAAGAAATAACATCTATCCGTCCAAATCTGGACATCCTCAACCAAAATGCCATTTTGCATTTCAGTCTCGTTCAGTAATCTCCCATCATTTCAGTGTGCAGAGAAGAGTAGTTCACATGCCACAAATTATCACTTATAAAAATTATCGTAAAAAGGATTTCGTTTGCATTTTCTTTATTAAAAAGTTAATGCGTACTTTTAAAAAAGTCAGCAAACAGCAGAACTAATCACTCACAGCCTGCTCTAAGCATCTCAAATGCAACCACTGAAACTCTGACTTAGCATCCTGTATGAGCTCCCGCCCAGCAACAAAACAAAATATTTAGACCAGAACTTTAAAACAGCTGAAAGTTGAAAAACAGGCCTGATTTCTTTTTGTCTTTGAAAAAGCAAAAACTTGCCACTATCCAGATTAGAACAAAAAGCTCAGCCTGCGATCTACTGATGTATTTGTACTAAAGTGTCCTAAATCATTGCAGGAGGTAGGACTGACAAAATCTTTGAAATACTGCACACCAGGCACGTCCAACAGATAGATGGACATCTGTGGTAGATCACTGCCTCCCCCCAAAGAATCTCAACAACTTTGGCTCCCCTAAAAAATAGCTCAATATTTTTGCCCTGCACCCCCAAAAAACGGGGCTTTCCTTCTCCCTAAAAAAAAGCTTAGCAACAACTTTGATCTGAATGCCTAAAAAATAGGCCTTCCTCCTCCCCAAGAAAGCTCAACAACTTTGACCTGAACCCCCAAAAAGGGGGTAGATCACTGCCAGTTTTTAACTCTGTAAGTAGATCGCGGTCTCTTGGGAGTTGACCACCCAACAAATTCCACGGATTGACTTCACTGAAGTCAATAGAAGGTGCCTGGTGCTTGTTCGTTTTTATTTAAAAAACAACAACACAATTTTCTTAAGAATATTAGAAAAAGCCTGATGATAAGCAGCTTGCAGATTAGGTGCATTTGAAGAAGCATTTATATTTTTCTTATTGGAATACAGTCCCACAAACACTCTAAGGGGAAACATCCTTCCTAATTTTGTTCTGCTGTTTAGGCAGCAAAACCCAAAGCTGTCCTTCTGATCCCTGAGAAAGCTTTTCTAAGAGCATGTCTACAACTGTAACCTTAATGAATTTAAAACCTGCACAACTGCCCTGGCTAACAACCAAGGAAGAGGGAAATATAGTTCATCCAAGGGTCCAGAGAGCTCTAACAAAGCATCCTTATCACCAAAACAAAACACTACCAAGGAGCATTGGCGGGGACGGGGGACCCATTACATTAACTAGTTTCAAGCCAACTGAAATTTGTGCTGGATACATTCCCTGAACCTAAACCTTTGACATAGACTAATTCCCCGCAATGTATTACAGCCCCACATTATATAGTTGTTGTCTATCCAGTGGCTGATCACCAAAGAATTGATGCTTTTGAATTATGGTGCTGGAGGACACTCCTGAGAGTCCCATGGACTGCAAGAAGATCAAACCTCTCCATTCTGAAGGAAATCAGCCCTGAGTGCACACTGGAAGGACAGATCCTGAAGCTGAGGCTCCAATACTTTGGCCACCTCATGAGAAGAGAAGACTCCCTGGAAAATACCCTGATGTTGGGAAAGATGGGGGGCACAATGAGAAGGGGACGACAGAGGCCGAGATGGTTGGACAGTGTTCTTGAAGCTACCAGCACGAGTCTGACCAAACTGCGGCAGGCAGTGGAAGACAGGAGTGCCTGGCGTGCTCTGGTCCATGGGGTCACGAAGAATCGGACACGACTAAATGTTTAAACAACAACAACATCCAGTGGCATTTCTATCTGCCCCAAGTCCCCTTATATATCCTGCCACGTTTCTACATAACCTATAGTGTCACGTTCCCAACGCTTACCATAGAATATTGAGGTATGATGCCCCCCATGGATCCATGGTAGATATAGACTGATCCAACGTAGTCATCTTCTTTAGGAGCACCAATGGCAACATCTAGGCAAGACAATGTGAGACAGTGGAAATGGGAAAGAGCCCCTTTCAATTTTTATTTTTTTAAGACTCTTGCCGCAACAAATCATCTTCATCATAAAGATGAAAGCCACTCAATCAGCAGCTGCCTGGCTTATAAGAAAAAAGTTGCCCCATTTAATGAGCTGATTTTAAAATAAAACCCTCAAAATGCATATTTACATTGCTTCTAATGAGAAACATCTGTTTGGGTTCCACAAATAATACCAGCCATGCGCAAGGGGAATCACAGCAAGCCTTTACATGCTTTATGTATCTCAAGGGAGAGATCTGGCATTGTACATGAAGCCACCACTGGCACACAGAACGCAAGCCACCCACCATGAAGCCATGGCAGATCCATTGAAAAATCCACTCATAATGCCAGCTTTCTAAAGCCTTGATATGATGCAAGTTGGGATGGATTGCTCAGCTCTAAAGCACTGAGAGGAGTTTGAAAGAAAGCAACAAAGTTGGGTGGCAGGGAATGTGTCTAGGCCAAGGCCTGCCCAAAATGACATTATATCCAGATGAATTACGGCACTGCTGTTTTAAGTAAGTTTTAAGTTGCTTCAAATTGTTTTTAATGTTGGATTTTAAATTTCTGTAACCCACCCTGAGACCGCGGGATGAAGGGAAGCTAATAAATTAAATTAAGGACAATAATAATAATGCTGGAACATCAACACTTTCCAAATTTGCTTATAATTAGAGCTGCAACCTTTAGTCCACAGATAAATCAACTAGTTTTAGTTAATTAATAGCAGAAACCAACTTAAAACCAGCAAGGGCAAATTTGAACTGGATTTTGTGAAGCTCGGTGTTATTTTTCTAGACTGTTTTCATTCTGGTGTGTTACTGTAATTGGGAGTATAAAAATGTTGACAAGTGACCTTTCTTTCCAACAGCAAGTGCCCTTTGTTTATTAAGGCTGATTTGTAGGTATTCTTTTGAACAGGAATAGGTAGTTTGCTCTGCAAACTAAAAAGGGACGCGGGTGGCGCTGTGGGTAAAAACTCAGTGCCTAGGACTTGCCGATCGTATGGTTGGCGGTTCGAATCCCCACGGCGGGGTGAGCTCCCGTTGTTCGGTCCCAGCTCCTGCCCACCTAGCAGTTCGAAAGCACTCTTAAGTGCAAGTAGATAAATAGGGACCGCTTTATAGCGGGAAGGTAAACGGCGTTTCCGTGTGCTGCGCTGGTGCTGGTTCGCCAGAGCAGCTTCATCACGCTGGCCACGTGACCCAGAAGTGTCTCCGGACAGTGCTGGCCCCCGGCCTCTTAAGCTAGATGGGCGTGCAACCCTAGAGTCGGACACGACTGGCCCGTACGGGCAGGGGCACCTTTACCTTTAGTTTGCTCTGCCAGTAACTTCAGCAACACTCTGAACAACAAGTAACCTTCAGCAACACAGTATGGAAAAATCCAGTGTGAAACAAACGTAGTTTACTCGCTATTGCATTGGCAGTGAGGATAACACAGAGGGAAAGTGCTTTCCTGTTGGAATAAATTTGTCCCACAGATACAATGGCACCCTAATGGCTCCTGATCTTTCTCACACCTCCTTGCAGATCCCAGACAGGCATCCCTAGCAGGACTAGGAAAGATCAGAGAACTGACAAGAAGAAGGTAATATACATTGCTTCAACATCCCTTCATGCTTCAGCCAGCGTGGTGTAGTGGTTAAGAGCGGTAGACTCGTAATCTGGGGAACCGGGTTCGCTTCCCGCTTCTCCACATGCAGCTGCTGGGTGACCTTGGGCTAGTCACACTTCTCTGAAGTCTCTCAGCCCCACTCACCTCACAGAGTGTTTGTTGTGGGGGAGGAAGGGAAAGGAGAATGTTAGCCGCTTTGAGACTCCTTCAGGTAGTGATAAAGCGGGATATCAAATCCAAACTCCTCTTCTTCTTCCATGAAGCACCATAACTGGGGAGCCCTGGTAAAATCCCTTGCTTGGATTAGAACAGGGGTCAGCAAACTTTTTCAGCAGGGGCCGGTCCACTGTCCCTCAGACCTTGTGGGGGGCCGGACTATATTTGGGGGGAATGAATGAATTCCCACGCCCCACAAATAACCCAGAGATGCATTTTAAATAAAAGGACTCATTCTACTCATGTAAAAACATGCTGATTCCTGAACTGCCCGTGGGCCGGATTGAGATGGCGATTCGGCCGCATCCTGCCCCCAGGCCTTAGTTTGCCTACCCATGGATTAGAAGCTAGATCTGTCAGCCACAAAAAAACCTCTCTGGGGGAGAAAGTGTGCCTTCAAAGATAAAGAATTATCTGTGTGAGACGGGTTTGAAGCATACACATTTCTGAAGCACTCCATAGCAGGTCCTTGTTTCAGTTCAGAGTGCTCCAGAGAGACCCAGCACCAGCCCAGAGCCCTCGTGCAAAAGAAAACAGACTGACCTGGGAATCCATCCTCATCCATATCTCCCAGGGAGGCAATACTTTCCCCAAAGTGTGCGTTGTAGGCATTGTCACCATTCAGAACAAGTTGCTCTTCCATGACTCCCTAGCAAACAGGAAATAGGACAGGCTAAGAAAAACAGTGCAAGTGTTGAGAGATGCACGGCGTCTTTGCTAGAGCATTGCTCATGCACATGTTCCCCAGGAAGCATCTGGAGCATGTCCTAACCAAATTTCAAGTTGGCAACACTAAACCCAGGCATTATATAAAGGAAATGCTGTAAATTGAAAAGGCACTTAATTGCTTCTGAAAAGGAAGCGGCTAGCCAGGATGACGGAGCAAAGGCCGATTAGTGGCCAACTGTAATATTTCAAAAAGAAATCTTAGATGAGTAAAATCGTGCACTCGAGACAGTGCAAAAGTTCCAAACAATTGAGCAACTAAGCCAGTGAGGTTAATTCTGTTCCGTTCCAAAGAATAGCCAAGAAGAACCATAGCTGTCAAGCGTCCCTTATTTGGCGGGACAGTCCCTTATCCCAGCGCCATGTCCCGCTGCTGTCCCTTATTGATGATGTCCCTTAAATAAGCTACTGAAGGTAATGGGGCCCTTTCTATGTCCAGCTGTCCTTGGTCAACAACAAATTGTTGCTGTTTTTTGTGTTGAATATATGCTATATGGTAATTAATGGACCTAACAGGTATCTAAAGCCATTTGCACGCAACAAAATATGTATTTTATCAAAGTAATTGTTGATCCCTTATTTTGGCTGCTGATCCCTTATTTTCGAGGCTGCTGGTCCCTTATTTTCAAATCTGTAAGTTGACAGCTATGAGAAGAACTATTGTAATAGCATAAACTAAGTCTGTGCAGCAAAACTCCCATGTGATAATAATGAGGTCTGCAGCACTTAAGTAAATTAATCTGTTGGAATAATTCGTTAAAACATTTCGATTGCCTAAAAAAAAGTGCTTCCAGGTAATCAGCCAGCAGGTTTTAAATCATTCTTAACAAAGTACTTATAAAAATGGAGCTGGCAAGTGTTGTTTTAGAAGGGTCGTTCCCTCTTGTATGAAAGAGACGAGATGCAAAGCTACCATGTGTGGACTGCATGGGGAATTATCTGATTCTTCGGACTTGACTTGTACATTTACCAACAACATTGGCCATTGCTCTATGAGCACATTACTGCAGCATTCAGTTCCAACTTTCATAGGGGGGGAAATGCCATGCTTTGGAGTCTATTTTGGGATGGAGCAAAGCAAAAGACGAAGAAACCACTTTACATAGGAATAGATTGACAACATTAGAATGTAGTTGGGTTAGATATAAGAGAGTGACCAAAAAGAGCAAAAATATTTTTTTCTTTTTTAAACCCTACCAAAGCTCCCACAAAAATGTTTTTCATGCTTTTATCTCCATTTCTGCCATCTACCCTAGACTTCAGGTGCAGGAGAGTTATTTCCATAAGGAAACCAAACACCGTTGTTTAAACCCAGCTCCGTGTCTATCTCAAGGGGTCTTTCCCATGTTTTTTTGTGAATAGGTAGGGACTGGTTTCTGGAAATTGCAATCAAATCTTTTGGGAGGTCTTCAGAAAGCTGCTGACATAAAGAAAATCCTGTATAATGAATCTGTAACAAAAACAATGAGGTGAAAGTAAAGTTTTATTGTGTTTTTCTTTTCTTCTGCACTGAGCGCAAGGTACGGTTTCATGAGGCTTGCCCTGAGGCTCCACATGTGGTGCAATGATGCTTATGTGCAAAGCGACTTTGCTATGGAACATGTGGAGTGAGTGAAAGTAATTTGGACTGTGGCAAATCAGAATCAACCCGAGTGGCCCTTGTATTCATAACACATTGGCAAATCTAGAACACACTTTCTAATAAGATTAACTTCAATAAAGCCTCACAGGGAAATTACTAGTAAATACATGTTTAGAGACGGGCATTAGGGACGATTAATGCAAAATATTTTTCAGGATTCACAGAACCCAGAAGATAATATTTCAATTCATTATTGTGAACACCCCAATTTTCTCGAGTGTTCTCTGTCACCTTGCTTCCTGACTATGTGCCTCACAACTACTGAGAAGATAGGGGTTCAAATCCCTGCTTAAACATGAAGGGTGCTTGATTGCCTCGGACACTCTCTCATCCAGTCCTGTTACAGAAGATTGTTGTCAAGATGAAAAGGAGACTCCACACCCTAAACTCCTGTGAGGAAAGGTGGAAAGCTAGTGAAAGTAATAATAAGTTTTAAAAAGGGGAAACACTAAGGTTGAGTATAATTTGTAGATAATTTGCAGATGAGAGAGTGAAGTCTGGAAGTTCCAGACAACTAGAATTTTGTGATCCAAACAGGAATGAAATGTTGTGATTGAAACAAGGATCTCTAAAACCCAATGCTTTTACCATATTTTTTGCTCTATAAGACTCACTTTTCCCCTCCTAAAAAGTAAGGGGAAATGTGTGTGCGTGTTATGGAGCGAATGCAGGCTGCGCAGCTATCCCAGAAGCCAGAACAGCAAGAGGGATTGCTGCTTTCACTGTGCAGTGATCCCTCTTGCTGTTCTGGCTTCTGAGAATCAGAATATTTTTTTGCTTGTTTTCCTCCTCCAAAAACTAGGTGCGTCTTGTGGTCTGGTGCGTCTTATAGAGCGAAAAATACGGTAGTTGGACTTTCGTCAATATTATTTTATCCAATCCAAAAGGGTCTCTCCATTTACGACATTCTGGAGGACGTTGCATTTCTGCTGCTCTAATTCTAAATCTTCATGTTTGTACTATACCTCTTCAACTATCTGAAGAAAGACACAAAGTTACATCATGCCATTGTGACTGTTTGACCTCAACTGACCTAAGGAGCCATGGTTTGTGAGTCGAATTGTGAGAAAGGAGAGCGCCAACAGCATTTATTTAGGGGGAAAGGAGACATTTTTCATAAACAAAAGTGTCTCTGAGAGAGCCCATGTGGCTCGTGTTCCTTCCAAACAAGTCGCGGTCATTTCAGAGTACAGGAAGCTTATGTTGATTATTTCCCTAGGCTACTGTTGGGTCATGGTGGTTGTGCAATGGGCAATTTTGCAACCAAGAGTCCAGTGATTTCTTTTCCTAGGAACACCAACACTGTATAGGGTTTTCAACGCAATCAAAATGAAAGTCAGTTCTTGCAGCTGCTTTTCATATGGGTTCAACTCTCAAAACCTACCTTCAAATACACATTTAAAAACAAAATCATGCTTCTTTCTCCCAGATAATACAAAGGCTGGTCTTAAGAGTCACCATACTTCAGCAGAAAGGGAAGGTGAATTAGAAGCCGTTGCTTAATTTGATACTGGTTTCATAACCACTGGAAGTGGCTGTCTCAGTATATAAAGTGAAGTGAAATGAATGCCATTTCTTCTACTATGCAGGTTCTATATATCAACAGTGGCTGCTACTCGGGTGCATTCTGTAAACCTCAGCTGTAATAGGTGTCATGTCCTGGTTTGGTCACAACCAACTATAGACCTGGAGTACATGATACCCAATTCAAGGGCCCTGAAGTTAGGGACTTGAGGAGAAAAACTCGATCCTGAAGTACAGCAAGCAGAACTGCTCTCCTCCTAACAAGACTCCTAACAAGAAGGTTGGCAAATCATGTTTATGCTGTGAACCGCCCTGAGATATATGGATGAAGGGTGGTATACAAATTTAATAAATAATAATAACTGCCTGTGATCACAAGAGCCTTGCTCTCATCGCATGCCATCTAATGAAGGGGACCCCGATCCATGAAAGCCTATGCCGTAATAAATTTGCTGGTTCAAGTTGCAGAATCCCTGACAGTGGGAAAGGAACAGACCTACTCTGACAGGATTCTACATTAATCAGAGCTGAGCACAGAATTGTGACATTGCTGTTTCTTGTGTACTCTTAGACTTTGAATCCTTCTGTATAAAACTAAGGGGGTCCCCATGCTTCTATCCCAGTCTAAATTCTAGATGCCCACCTGAACCCGCCTGCCCAAACAGCTCCATATGCCGCCACCATTAGAGGCTTGGCCAGTGAACTCAAAGGACGGTGCCTTTCTATTGTGGTGCCAAAATTAAGGAATGCCCTCTCAGAGGCAGCCTGTCTAGAGCCATCACTGTTTGGTTTTTTGCAAGCAGTAAACACATAAGCATTTCCCTGTGCTTCGAGGGTGTTTTCAGACTGTGGGTTTTATGCTATTGCCATAGTGTGCTCCTTGCAAATGTCATATCGCTGGGGGGTTTTTATGCTGGGCTATGGGACGCGGGTGGCGCTGTGGGTAAAAGCCTCAGCGCCTAGGACTTGCCGATCGAAAGGTCGGCGGTTTGAATCCCCGCGGCGGGGTGCGCTCCCGTCGTTTGGTCCCAGCGCCTGCCAACCTAGCAGTTCGAAAGCACCCCTGGGTGCAAGTAGATAAATAGGGACCGCTTATCAGCGGGAAGGTAAACGGCGTTCCATGTGCTGCGCTGGCTCGCCAGATGCAGCTTGTCACGCTGGCCACGTGACCCGGAAGTGTCTGCGGACAGCGCTGGCTCCCGGCCTATAGAGTGAGATGAGCGCACAACCCTAGAGTCTGGCAAGACTGGCCCGTACGGGCAGGGGTACCTTTACCTTTACCTTTATGCTGCATTTACAAGCTTCTTTTAGGTACTTGCCAATGAAAATGCCTGATAAAAGTACTGAAAAATAAACCACAATGTTGATAACGCAAACCCAGAAATAGTACCTCAGGTTAAGAACTTTGCTTCAGGATGAGAACAGAAATTGCGTGGCGGCGGTGCAGCAGCAGCAGGAGGCCCCATTAGGTACCTCAGGTTAAGAACAGTTTCAGGTTAAGAACAGACCTCCGGAACAAATTAAGTTCTTAACCAGAGGTACCACTGTATTCTTATCCACCTTTAAGGGGTTACAGGAATTTACTGTTTTTTGAAATATCAGGTTAATGTGGCAGCTCTTCAGGAATGGAATTAGATATCAACTGGATTTTGGACATCCCAACAAATTATGAAAAACAAGCGAATCCTGACTTTTTTGCTAGGACTGTTTGGCCATTTCTATTCAGGAGCTGAAACAGCGCCCACCTCTGCTCAGCGCCTTAAAGCAGAACTTGCATGATACGGTGCAGCTGATCTGAGATTAGTGTTAAAGGATTTCCCCAGGACATTTTGCTCCACTTCTTTTTGTACTCACATTTCCTCTACTGAGGTAGACGGTGACTTGACCCTCATCCCGGATCTCGGAAAACATGGGCGCTCCCACCAGGAGGTCCGAAAGGCCGTCAGAATTCAGATCAACTGCACATAAGGAGGAGCCAAAGTAAGAGCCCATCTGCAACCAAGCCGAGTCACAACAAAGCATTCAGTATCTGCCCACACACAGGAGGAAATCATTTATGCTTTTCGTTGTTTGTAATTGAAATAGCAACTTGCTACTTTATCTCTCACAACACAGCAGCTCTCGGAAGTCTCTGGGCCACTGGGTCACACCAGCTTTCATTCATTCATTCATTCTTTATTTAATTATTTAATTATTATTATTATTATTAAAGGAATTAAAGTTATACTTTTTCCTGTGTCTTAAAAACAAGTTGCTGCCACATGCCAAAAATCATTAGCTGAAATACACACGGGCTCTTTCAGCGACTGTGATGGTTTTGTGAATATGCCAGCAAACATGCAGATTCTCATTTACATCATACTTTCTGGAAAGGTCAGGCATGTGCCAAGGCATTCACGAGATCAGTTTAACAGACAAAAAAAAAAATACTGAAAAGTAAACTCATGTTAACTTCAATGTGATTTTTAAGGAATGTATATCAAGCCTAGAAATATTTAGCTGCTGTGTTGGGTAAGCAGGGTTGAAAACTATGATCCGAACAAGCTCAAGAACCAGTCAGTCAAGGAATGTCTTTGCAGGATGTTTAATGATGGCAGACAAATAGGGAGTGATGGCCAATTTTTGCAAGGCATCTGTCATGAAGTTTGCATGCTGCATCCCTAGGACTGAAGACTCCACACTATGCGGAATGGATCCAGAACATGGATAATTTCCATGCTAATCTCACATCTTTTTGGTGGCAGCTGGCACCAGTACAGAGACGCTCTACAAAACAGGGTGAACTGACACATTCAGTAGAGTTTCTATGTGGCAGTCCTAATATGATTCTGCCTGAAATGGTTCCATTTCTTCCTTACTTCCTGACCTTTTGTCTTTATTCACCCATTGTGAATCTGGGACTGTGTGTAATTCATCCAGTGCCAAATTGCAAGCACATCAGATGACCTTTATTTTACCACTAGCATTATTACTCTCACCTCATTACATGCTCTTGATTGGCTGAAAAGTTGTGTTTCCCTCCCACCCACCACCCACACTCCTTAATTTGGTCACTCAACTTGTCTTTGGCCAAGATCAGCCAAAGGTTCCAGCCAAAGATGATATCAGCCATGCAACAACAGCCACACCTATCACTACAGAGTGGACACTGACTTCTCAAATACAGAAGAGATTGCAAATACTGTTTGCAAGTCACTGCAGAAAGATGAGAGAAAGTGCAAGCCATCAGCTCAGATCTCCAATCTGTTTGCTTTTGCAGGGTTAAGGTCAAACATTTAGCATTTCGCTCCCTTTGTGGGTTCTTTGTTTACGAGGCTTTCATTACGCATTGGTGGTTTTTACACTAATAAAAAATCTAGGCAGCGAATACCTGAGCAATATGTCACAGTGGATGTAAGCAATTTCAAGCTGGAAAGGGATTTTGTTTGCCCAACTGCAACAGTATTGTGCAGAGTTGGTGACCTGGTGTTACTGTGAGAACCGTAACTTTTTGCTATTCACATCTGGCACACGGTTTCCAATTTCCTGTAAGGAACTAAGAGTCTCTAGCAGTGAAGAATCCAGCTGCAGGATTCAAGCGCTCTCTGTGCCACTGTAGTAGCTCACTAGATAAGAGAGTCGCCGGCCTGATCTTTGCTGTGCTACAGCATCACAAATGCCCACAAGTGGTCTTGCAGCTACCAACTCAGCAAGGATCACATGACAGGATCATGTGACAGAAAGAGACAGCTGCATTCCACGTGGTCCCATAAACCTACTGGTTCCATTGACCCAAGCAACACAGAAATGAGGCACAGAGTGAACTACTCTTCGAAGAACCGATATCCACTTGCCTGCTTAACCACCCTAACATTCCCCCCCCTCCCCAAAGAAACAGGAAAAGGTTGTTAACATGAAGGGGAAAATCACAAGAGTGCACCCTTGTTGTTGACGTCATGGAAATGTTAGACCTTCTCGTGATTTTAGTACCTCAGAAATACATTTCACAAATAAAAAGCCTTCCCTTGCGCGTGCATGCGCACACACACAAACACACACACAACCCTCAAACGTTTCAAAGGCTTTGTCAGAACAGGGCTCAGTATCAAAATCTCCAAGGGCTATTTTACATTTGAGATCAAGTAAAATGTGAAAGCAGAGTGGAGCAGCCACCTCAGGCAACTGATTTTGCGTGGCGCAAAACACCACAAATTATCAGTTGCTTCATTGATGATTGTTTTATTTTTTGCTGTTAGGGAATGAAGAGGCACTTGTGAGATCTTGACCAACCAAAGGTATTATGTACAAAGATTTGCAGGGGGGATATTTGCTGCTATACCACAAGTAACAACATGTCTTAGACCAGGCATAGGCAAACTTTGCCCTGTTTTGGGACTACAATTGCCATCATCCCTGACCACTGGTCCTGTTAGCTAGGGATCATGGGAGTTGTAGTCCCAAAACATCAGGAGGGCCGAGTTTGCCTATGCCTGTCTATGCATTGGATAATAGAGAAAATTACAGCCCCAGGCCATAAGAAATTGTGAGCAATATAGCTGTAATCAGAACTTATCTGCAGGATTAAAAGAAAAAGCAATATATTCCACATAAAAAATAAACAACCAATTATTTAAAGGATTACCCACCTTTTTACCAGAAGCCTGAAAGATCTTTATTAAAGAACCAGACCTCCTATCAGTGCGAAATATATATACCTGTGAAGTTTTAAACAGAAGAAGAAACTAATTGATTCTACTGCATATGAATCCACTCATTATTGATTAGCAAAATACAGCTAAGAGTGCATGTTTGTGGGTACTTCATTCATTAATCTGAAAACTTTGTGTCTCATCTTTCCACAAAATTGAAGGCAGCTTAGCAAAATACAATAGAAAAACTAAGAATAAAACCTAAGTTTTATTAATGACGGATACAATTTTTAATTAATTAATTTTATAATGAATGATTTTAGAATGTTGTTTATGCTGTACTTTTGTACTGTTTTATTGTTGTTAGCCGCCCTGAGCCCGGCTTCGGCTGGGGAGGGCAGGATATAAATAAAAATTATTATTATTATTATTATTATTATTATTATTATTATCATCATCATCATCAAACAGAAAAGGCAAGAGCCACCCGCAGTGAAATGTGAGCTATCTCTTATGAAAATCCACCAAAGACTTTTGTGGGTAAAGCTGTTTTCAAGTGGCCTCTAAAAGAAATCAAAGTACCGTATTTTTTGCACCATAACACTCACTTTTTTCCTCCTAAAAAGTAAGGGGAAATGTCTGTGCGTGTTATGGAGGGAATGCCTACGGGTGGCATGCCTACGGATTTTCCTCCTCTAAAAACTATGTGCGTGTTATGGTCGGGTGCGTATTATAGAGTGAAAAATACGGTAGGTGACAGGCAAATCTCTTTGGAGAAGACATTTCGCAGTAAGACAAGGAGTATCTGCATGGCCTCAGGGTGGGATTTAACCCCACAGCCCCTTTGTTTATCTGTTGCCTCTTTGCACAAGCAACACGTGAACATCTGGTTAGACTGTCAGTGCTGAACTGGTTCAGCTCAGTATTAGCAAGCCCTCAAGTCCCTAGTCCATCACAAAAGAACATTACAAAACCAAGGAAGATCAGCACTGCAAAAAAATGCTTTGCACATTTTTTTGAAGAATGTTACATAAACAATACAACAATGCATAACAGAGGCATTGATCCTAACATAAGTTAAGGAAGTTCACAGAATGAATGTTTTCCATTTCCTCCTCCACACTGCCCTTTCCTACCCACCCAAACACCACCACCCTCCTTAAACAACATGGGGTGTGTATAGGGGCCTCTGAGGAAAGGGATAACCAGCCAAAATGGGCAGACCTACACCTAATTTTAGGACACTCCCACCATATATTCTTCAGAAGAGCCCCCAATCCCCAAAGAGGCTTTTCGTGGGTCTGGTGGGAATGAGAAATATTCCTCCCATGAACCACTTTTAAGGCAACTAATCTGATGATCCAAGCCAGTGTCAATAAACCCTTTCCAAATTACTGTAGCCCCAAATGCCTTGTTCATCCTTTTTTCCGGGAACTCAGTCAAAACAGTGAATATGCTGCCACGTTAGTTAAATGAGCCATTGTTTGATCGAGAGCCACACCTTTCCGACGCCTCCATCCTGAGGAGCTCCTCCAACTACGTCTGTCGTCGTCAGCTGAGAGAAGTGACCCGCTGTCACCGCATATCCTAAGCAGGGCATTTTTAGGGTGGACGAATGGGAGGAGAGAAATGACAAATGAATTCAGAAAAGGAAACAGGTCCAAGGAAAAGGTCAGCCATCTGGATGAAAGCAAAGTTCCCTCCCTCCTCCTTTCTTCTCATAGAGTGTAAATATGCTAGGCTTGTTACAAATAACCCCCAAAAACCAACAAGAGGACTGCTTCTTCAATACAGGAACTTGCTGGCACTCCATGCGGTGCTGGAAGTGACAATAAGCAACTGAATGTCTCTCCCCATCCCACCCCCCGAGACCCAATGGCAAAGGTGTCGACAGAAGCTGTGAGGGTGACAAGAACAAGAGCTTAAGCCAGTAAAGGGCCTGGTTTCCAAAATAAAAATTAAGAGTACAGATGTTCAGCGGGATGAGAAACGCCCGGGGGGGGGGGCGGACAGATTGCTTCATGTTGAAGGAACTATCTTTCATGCTTGTTTAGTGAGTTTCCATTAGGCACCCAAAAATGGGGGTTCGCTCAGTTTAAACTGCTATGCCAAGGGATGTGGGGTGAGGGAAGAGATATAAAGTATATGCTTTAAAGTAAAGGTAAAGGGACCCCTGACCATTAGGTCCAGTCGTGACCGACTCTGGGGTTGCGGCGCTCATCTCGCTTTATTGGCCGAGGGAGCCGGCGTACAGTTTCCGGGTCATGTGGCCAGCATGACTAAGCCGCTTCTGGCGAACCAGAGCAGTGCATGGAAACACTGTTTACCTTCCCGCCGGAGCGGTACCTATTTATCTACTTGCACTTTGATGTGCTTTTGAATTGCTAGGTTGGCAGGAGCAGGGACTGAGCAACGGGAGCTCACCCCGTCGCGGGAATTTGAACCACCGACCTTCTGATTGGCAAGTCCTAGGCTCTGTGGTTTAACCCACAGCGCCAACAAGAGCTTTAAAATTGTTTTAATCTTTTAATGCTTTTGTTTTATGCCTTTTATCCTTTCAATGTTTTATCCTTTCAACTACTGTGATACGTTTTGTGATCTAGCGGTTTATAAATGCTATTATTAATTATTATTATTATTATTATTATTATTATTATTAATGATGATGATGATGATGCTTGGCTAAGGATTAAAACAAAAATTAAGGGGAAAGAGTTTGTTTGGAAGAGGTATCAAGAATGTGGCCCAATTTGCCATCCTACAGATGATATATTATGGGACAGGAGGAGTCTGTAAGTAAAGGAGGAGGAGGAGAATGTGATGGTGGTTCAGCTCCCTGTAAGGCTGTCATTTCATAGTCCCTTCTGCCTGCAAAAGACTAGCTTTTCAAATCTATTCAAAGGCGGAAACCTCAAGGTCTTCAGGATATCCAGCCATCTCTTCTCTAAGAATTTCAAAGTAGCTTTCATTAAGTGGTATTTTTTTTAAACAAAAAACAGACGAATAATGATAGTGGGCTGAAGAAAAGGGGTGATTATCCAGTTTTTAAAAGCATTTAAAACCAAACAAAAGAAGAAAGTGGAAATCTGGAAATGCTTTCATAATGAGAGCAAGTGGTCACTGAGGACTGGGCAGAAGACATTAGATGTTCAGTATTTCTCTTCTGTCACTCACTGCGTTTTAAATCTTGGTATTCAAAGTATTATTGATGTGCAATGTCTTTAGTCCCTATCTTATCTTGGCAGATATTCTTTGGAGCAATAGACAGCTGTGCCTACTCAAAGAACTGCTATCCTCAGAGTACAGGAGAAGAAAATGAGAACATTTAGAGCTTATAGTTTAGACATACCCAAGAGGTAAAATTAATATACTATACAACATGTGCAACTGGCTGGGAGTTGAATTAAAAAGTTCACAAATCCCAATCTATAGTTTAGGCAAGCAGTTTTCAGACTTTCAGGAAGCCGTTTCCACATTCTCATCTACTGAGACAACCCTGCAGATGTTACTGACCCCGACACTTCACAGAAGATTATGGGGTGTTTAGTATTTGAGCCCTGCTTATGAGGCCTACTGTCCATTTACGAAGCTTACTAGCATCATCCCATGTGAACCAAGAGTGCAACGCAGGACACACGTAACACTGACCTGGGAAAATAATAATGGTGCATCTAAGGAAGTGGACTGTAGTCCACAAAAGCTTGTGAGATAATATGTTTGTTAGTCTTTAAGTTTCAAGATCCTGTTGCTTGAGGGGACCACAGTCTCTCTAGAGAGGGCATTCTACAGCCAGGATATCACCACTGAAAAGGTACTCTCCCTGTTTGTCATCTCCTGAACCTCAGAAGGTAGGGCCACCTGGAGAAAGACCTCAGAAGACAACTACTCCAAGTCAGTATATACAGAAGGAGAAAAAATCGAGGTAACCTCATCCCCAATAATTAAGGACTTGAAAGGTCCAAAACGTGTCACTGAAAAAGACCTAACAAGCTTTCATAGAACACAAGGGTCCCTGAAATTCACTGACTTAGACCATTAGGCCTAAAATAACCCATTCTCCATGTATTTTCTTTCTTTCTTTCTTTCTTTCTTTCTTATCACTTCCCATGGGGCATCCCAAAGCAATTTACAACATAATAAAAACTTATATGAAACAGCTGCACATATAACAACATTTTTCTAAACAGATAAAGATATAAGCAAACACTTTAAGACAACCAGAGCACATTCATAAAATCAATTCAAATCTGATGCAGATACCAACTAGGATTTTTTTTTAAAATGTCCATTTAGAAGGCTTATATTCATGAAGATTTCCCATACCTACCACTAAAAAACTTTGTGCAAGACAGTTTAGACCGGTGTCCCACAGCCTGGTGCCTCCCAACCAGCATGGTTGTGATGGCTGAGATTCATGGGAGTTGTAGTCCCAACATCTGGAGGAAACCAAGATTTGAGACTAGTAACAATGGGCAGCTCCACATCACTTACCTAGGTATGTATACCGCTTGGCTATCACAGATTCATCATTCAGCTTGAAATAAATATTGTCAGTGAGATTCAGCACTTTGATGGTCCCGGTCCAGTAATAAGATCCCGGGGCTCCCATGACAACCAGCTCCTACCAACAGAAGAGTTTCAGCAGTCAATAAAATAAATCTTTGAAGCTCCTCAAGCATGATGAAGAACAGAAAAGCAATCATCTTCAGAAATTCTGTGGTGCTGGGGGGCAGAGAAGACTGATAAATTGGGGGAGACTGAAACAGGTTAAAATAATCTAAACTTTCTGGATTACTTTAAGAGCATGAATTGTATTGTGCAATTAGAATGTAATAGCCTGGTTTGAAAGGCAAACCATAGTTAAAATAAACTGTGGTTTAATGTGAATGAGCACCATGCTGATGCACACTGTTGAAATCCCAGGTGTTTTGCTCTTCCCCTTGTAGTAAGAATTCACCGCTATACCAACTTGTTTGTTACCCAGGTGAGGAACTCCTCCTACTGCTGGGAAACAAGCTATGGTTTTGTTTGTTGCATATCCAGCTGCAGGTTCTCCAAGCCAACCACGAGCAGAAGCCAATATGTCTTCATGGCTTAGGGGGAACAAACCACAAGCCCAGGACATAACAGTGCATCAAGCTAGACAATGGCTTGTTTCCTAGCAGAAGAAGGAGCAAGGGAGAAATGGAGCAGCTCATTCACATTAAACCATTTTAACTGGTCCATCTAACTCAATATTCCCAACGCTGAGAAGCAACAGCTCTCCAGGGTGCCAGACAGTCCCAGCCCCACCGGGAGATACTGGAGACTGGGAACCTTCTGTCCTGCATGATGCTCTACCATATAAAAGTCTCACAGCCGTAATTGAAACAAAGTCCCATAGACCTTTTCTAACTGTATATCTATAAGTCCCAGCAGGGAAAATTCAGGCTTCAGTTGAAAGTTAATCTTCAAAATTCTCCGTATCAATGTATATATATTTGTATGCAATATTTTTTGGCTTTTTTACACATCCACCAAGCATGATAAAATGTCCCTTCCTGTTCTTTACATTTCCAGTAAATATTTATTTGCATAAAACATGCAATGAACTTACTGAGGCATGGCAGCAGAGGAACTGTCACGTTTTCAAGGCCTACCTTTAGCTATGAATCTATCCTCAGCACGTCTCCTCAGTTCAGTGGCAGACTTTGATCTTTGAAATTTCAGTGGTGCACAGTGCAAACCCAAAATTTGTCATCCGCCTGCCCCCCTTCCATTCTGCTCAGCTCACTGTGTTATAGCTGGGAAGCCATGCAATGTCTTCTAGTGTCGGCGCTCAGTGTGGTGGACCCAGCAGCACCACCCCAGTCTCTGCTCAGTTCTCTTATAGGGTAGTCACAGCGAATCCTCACAAGAATTCAGCTTTGGCCTCCGAAACTTTGGGATCCCCTAGGCTGCCTAGCTCTTCTCCACCAGACCGACAAACTAGGCCTGGACCATCAGAACTTGGCTGCTTCCATCTACACAAGGTCAGAAGCTATAGCAGACAGTTCCGTACATACGATGTATGTAAACACGACAGGCTCCATAACTTTGAGTGGGTGCTCTTTTGGGACAACCAGCCCATCTCACAGCAGAAAACAGCATGCATTAGCAAGACGGAAGGCTTGTGCATTAGACGCTTGTCTGTTTGACCCAGAACTCATTTATCTACATTTCCTGCTCACTCTGAAATGGCTGAAGCTCCAAGGCAGTGCACCAGAAGTTCAAAGCCACCTTTTGAAAGTGGAGCAAGCAAAGGGAGTTCAGAGCATGGGAAAAGGAACAGGCTTGATATTGCAGACAAGTCAGGAAACAGCTGCTGCTGACACAGCTCTGGTGATCAAACGCATTATCAAACAGGTTGCCACCCTTTCCAGATTAACCTGAAAAAAATCCCACCGGCTTGTTTGAACACTGTGGCACATGCTTTGTTTATATGATCCTGAGTGATTAAACCCTTTGGGCCCAATGCAAAGATGGCTTGGAAATTAATCTCTCTCACATTCCCTTCCAATCTAGATTTGCCCAAGGCAGGGCTAGACATTACCAAAAGCACATGACGGCTGCCAAAAACAGTGGCCTTGTGTCTCGTTTCCTGTTCTCATAAGCTTCCTTGATCATCTAGCCCAGTGCTCTGGCTTGCAGCAGCTCTGAAGGGTCTCAGGCAGCAGAGGTCAGCAGGGTGGCACAGGTAGGGCAGCGCTGCGCATCTGGCTTCCTGGCACCAAGCATTTTCCAAGAAGGAAAGGTGCAGAGAGCTCAGTGCAGTGCAAGCGCAGTGAGGGAGCCAGCAGAGCACTCCTGCCAGCGTAGCTACACTGCACTGAGCTCCCTGAGTCTTGACCATCCCTCTCTAGGTAAGCAGCAGCAACACTCAGCATCAAGCTGCACAATGCCAGCCTGTCTGCACCTCCCTGCCAACCACTGTTGGTCTCGGGTAGAAAGAAGTCTGACATATCCCTTGGGATGCTGGAACCTTGGGAAACTGGGACGGTTCTTCCTCTAATAGTATGCAGTCATGAAATGTGTGGTGTGACATCGCCATGCCATCAAGACACCTCCCTGCTCCCTACCACAGCAGCTACTGACGTGAACCTAGGAACAATGTTAGAAAATTGGTAGCTTAAAAAACTAAAAAGCGAGGAGCAAGAAAGAAAGGGACTGAATTTTAACCACATCCAAGTTTGCATAGTTAGCATTATGGGATGTTGAGTTGCAGCTTGCCTGCTGTCCAATTTCCAAGTACAAGATATATCCACATTGCATTATTTTTCAACCATGCAACCAGAAACAAATAGCAGCTACCACCTGGAAAGGCATAACGGCAATAAGAGGTCCCACCTTTTCACGTTTGTTTTGCACTGTGGAATTTATTCCTGGCAATAAGAATTTACCTATGAGGACTGACCTGTAATACATGAAACAGTCCTCTGGGGCAGGCACAGGCAAACTCAGCCCTCCAGATGTTTTGGGACTACAACTCCCATCATCCCTAGCTAACAGGACCAGTGGTCAGGGATGATGGGAGTTGTAGTCCCAAAACATCTGGAGGGCCGAGTTTGCCTATGCCTGCTCTGGGGAGTTCAGGACAGGCCTGGTGCCAGCGCCTGGCATGGTGGGGTGAATCCTGGGTCCCTTTACCTTTACCTTTAAGTAAGTGAACTGGGAGTGTGCAAAATCACTACATTCCTGCATAGTGTCATATGCAAAGCTGCAGAATAAAAGGACAACATAAATGCTGAGAAACTGCTGCACAGAAAGCTTGAAAGCTGAAGGCAAGTTTTTCGATTCGGAGACTTTTTACACCATAGCAACCGGGAGGTCTTGGCCGAAGCTCCACCACTCACCTCTGTGAAGTAGCCTGCTATTCCAGCCTGACATGAGCCATGCTCTTCGCCATATTTCTTCTTATACTCTAGCAAGGAGAAGGATTAAAGGGGAGGGAGGAGAGAAACACAGTCACGTCAGTCCCTGCCAAATGTGTGTGGTTCGCAGTTGCACAGTCCCGTCCGCTTCATTCCACATGTGCTGCTCAGCGCTGAGTTGCAGGAGGCCCTCGGCTGAGCCAGCACTGGGAATTATCTGAAATTCACTAAAAACCTCAGAAATCCAGCCTCCTTTGCCACAGTACATGGGTATTGTCAAAGCCAAGCTTTGGAGCAACAGCACTGTAAACAGATAACGTTTCCCCGTTTGCGAAATCTGAAAGGGCAGGGCCAGGAAAAAGCCTCTGAACATTTAGGACGGGAGACCAGTCGTGAGACTGGAGAATGAGGGAGAGGGAGACCTGCATGCGAGGGGCAGCCTGATAGCTTGTAACTCGCAGCAACTCAATTAAGGTTGAAAGCATTAATCAGAGGGGGACTGACTTTAGCCTTTGGTCCCCAACCAGAATGAAGCTGAAGAACGCAGAACAGCCTTTGCTCACATTGATTCTTTATGCCCTGCTTCTCCCAGATCGTCTCTTGACCTTCTTTCCGTGTCTTTCCCTTTCCTCTTTTTCCTTCCACTGTGATAATTTAGAATGTAAACACTTTGGGGCAGAAACCTATTGCATGGGCTTATGTTAGGCTACAAAGTGGCATGTACATTGATGGTGCTATAACAATATCAATAAGACCACGTGGACAACAAGAGCAGCCCAGAGCCTGTGAGAAGAAGAAGAGTTTGGATTTGATATCCCGCTTTATCACTACCCGAAGGAGTCTCAAAGCAGCTAACATTCTCCTTTCCCTTCCTCCCCCACAACAAACACTCTGTGAGGTGAGTGGGGCTGAGAGACTTCAGAGAAGTGTGACTGGCCCAAGGTCACCCAGCAGCTGCATGTGGAGGAGTGGGGAAGCGAACCCGGTTCACCAGATTACAAGTCCACTGCTCTTAACCACTACACCACACTGGCTCTCCACACAACACAACACAAGAGGCACAGGGAATACTTGGCATCACCAGTGCCAATCATGAATATTCCTCTGGTCCAGGTTTTGCACCTCTGAATTACTACTCTGCTTTCTTCAAGATAAGCCAGGATTGCCTGTTCACCCACCTTCAAGCAAGACCATCCCAGTTATACACATCATCTCTGTAACGTAGAAAAATTCAGCATAGCACAAAACTAAAAGGGTGTTTTTGAAGAAAAATTGAAAGCTACTGCACATCCAAAAGAAGCCATTTGAGGCAAAATAAATGAATCATGATAACCAGTCACACTGAGAGCTCCATAGAACCATGCTTGACGGGGTACTAATTTAGCAGACAAAATGTGGATAGTGTCATTATATGGTTTAATCACTAGATGGCACTGGACTTAGTTGACCCTGGGTAAAAGGAAGTTTTCTGTGTCTAGTCTGTTCCTGTCAAAGAGAGACAATAAAGTTCTTGTCTGGCTTCTTGACTGGTGTGTCCTCCAAGACCTCCATGACAATTATTTTTTCTATGGTGTTTAAGTTTTCTTCTCTACCTCATTTCCACTTGCTCTGGAAAATTTAAAGCAAATGGCAAACCCGCTTAAAGGCTGTTGCTACCAAGGCACCCTGGGAATTGTAGTATCGAGAAAGAACTAACAAAGGATCTCTTAAAAGAATTGTCCACTCACCAAACTACAATTCCCAGATTTATCTGAGCCAAATGAAAACAAGTGAATACAACATGAAACTAGTTTAAATGTGTATTGTAGCTGTGCCCTAAGAATCAAAGTGTTTAGGGCTACAATTTTAACAAGAATTTTGCACTTCTGTCCTTCATCTGAGCAGCTTCTGAACTTCACATTCAAATCTCTGGCAAGAAAATCAGAGTATCATTACAGCATTTATTCCCACTTCCTGTTTCTTGCGACATGCTCCCCCGTGATAACTGGGGTTTCAAGGAAAACATAGTGTGCTTCAGTTTCTAAAAAAAATCGCCATGTAACCTGGTAACACTCTGAAACAGCCAACCACCGACTCATTGCTAAATTATAAGGAATGTACTTTGCAGATTGTCTCTTTGGAACCAAATGTATTCCTCATGGTTTGACAGACCACAAGAACTGTATAATGAACTCTTAGCTTCAAGATAGAAACAGTCTGTTTAAAAGAAAAGGGAATATTGACTGGACTGGCCAGCAATTATTTCCACTTTTAACAAATATAAAGATCATTTGTACTGGGTAAATTCCAGCAAAAAACAAGTGGGGAGACTCCTGATCATTTTATCGGGGTCAGGATTTCATTCATTCCTACAAAACAGAAAAATTAGTATGAATGATAAGACAGTGGTCTGAGGTAGCATAAACTGAGAAAGCTAAGCAGTGTCAGAGGCTCATATATGCACTATATCAAACCACTTTAATTCATAGCAGTCTTATCCCCCTCAAAGAGCTACAGTTCCCAGGCTTAACAAGCAATCCCTCTTCCCAGAGAAATCTTGGAATTGGGGTGATGTGGGGAACAGGAGTCTCCTAACAACATCCAGCACCCTCAGAAAACTATAGTTCACATAATGCTCTGGGAGAGGCCATGACTATTTAAAGTGTCATGATGCTGCTTTAAATGTATAGTGCAGATGGGCCCAAATGGTCACAGACTTGATAAAAGACTTCCTGAAAAGTGGAATGGGGGGCAGAGCAGCACAATTATTAGGCAGCTGTTATCAAAGCAAGCTGGTTTAAGATATTGCCAAGCCAAATCATGCAAAGTACACTGACAGGGAATTTCTCCGAGCAGATACTGGACATTAATCGTTAGGAATGAGGTGGGCCACAGTCACGGCTAACAGCAATATGGAAATAACCAAATCAGTTGATCAAGAGTATATATAATAAGGGTTATTTCTTAAACCCCGCATTGCTGTATAAAATGAAAATGACTGAATGAAGAAAAGGGCATGCAGAGCAGAGCTCCACTCTCATCTACACATGAGAAAAAGGGGAATAGATTTGAGGTGTGGGTGAGGAAAAAACAATGAAGGGAGGAACAAGGAGATGTTTTGTTGCAGGCAGAAACAGAGCTATAGAAAAGATGACTGAGAAGAAGAATGGGCCTCTTGAGTGAAGCAGGAAGAGCACGCAAGCCCCATTCATTCTGGGCAATCAACCTCCTGAAGTAAGAGCATTTCTTCCACGGGGCTGGCATATCCTGATCAATTGTTCAAGAAACAATGAGAAAGGATTGGCCATCTTAGCCAACCCCCTTTCCAAAGCTCTGAAACACAACAGAAGAAAGCATGACGAGAGGCACTCAGCAACCACATGCACACACTGAACACCTGGGCGTTCATATTTGCATAGAGCCCCTTCACAGAAACCTAGATTTGTAGAGTTGGAAGGGACCATGAAATGTCAACTAGTCCAACCCCCTGGCATGCAGTTTGCCTAATAATAATAATAATAATAATAATAATAATAATAATAATTTATTTATACCCCGCCCATCTGGCTGAGTTTCCCAAGCCACTCTGGGCAGCTCCCAATCGAGTGTTAAAAACAATACAGCATTAAATATTAAAAACTTCCCTGAACAGGGCTGCTTTCAGATGTCTTTTAAAAACAAGATAGCTGCTTATTTCCTTGACATCTGATGGGAGGGCGTTCCACAGGGCGGGCGCCACTACCGAGAAGGCTCTCTGTCTGGTTCCCTGTAACCTCACTTCTCGCAATGAGGGAACTGCCAGAAGGCCCTTGGCACTGGATCTCAGTGTATGGGCTGAACGATGGGGGTGGAGATGCTCCTTCAGGTATACTGGACCGAGGCCGTTTAGGGCTTTAAGGGTCAGCACCAACACTTTGAATTGTGCTCGGAAATGTACTGAGAGCTAGTGCAGATCTCTCAGGACCGGTGCTATGTGGTCCCGGTGACCGCTCCCAGTCACCAGTCTAGCTGCCGCATTCTGGATTAGTTGCAGTTTCCGGGTCACCTTCAAAGGTAGCCCCAGTGTGTAGGACTTGAACTCGCAACCCTGAGATTAAGAGCCTCATGCTCATCCTAGGATTCCACTTTGTGAGAAATTCTGTGTATCTACTTCAGTAAGTGCATAGGGCCCTTTCTCACACAGATAACCCTTTCCCCCCTCAAATATGGGGGTATTTTTGTGATACTGTGAGGGGCAGATGAGACTTGTCAGCCTGGGAAGGTAGCCCATCTAGGAGAAGGAAAATGGATCCTAAACCTCTGCTGCCTTGCAGGCTATCTTCAGAAGAAGAAAATGCTAAGAGGAAACCCTACACAAATCTGGAGTCAAGTCCCTAAGATGTTTGGATGGCACCTTCTACACCTCCTTCCCGCAACTCCAGCCGCCAAGCTGGTGCCAGATGTATCGCTCTGTTTTTCTTTGGACCACATCTGGGCAGCCTCCATACACACCGCCCAGGCTTGCACCCCGGGAAGGTCACTTTGGTACTGCTTACAGCACAGTTCGACTTCACCCCTGGAGGTGTACTCCCTTGTTTCTGGAGAAGGACGGGTGCCAACAATAGCACACTGGCATTTATTCCCGTAATGCATGGTCATCAACAGACACACATACATTTGGCACAAAATGACACTAACTCACTTTGGTAGCTATTCCTATTATGAATATAATGCGGAGAGCGAGAGAATTGTTTAAAAACCCAGAGAAAACCCTGGTGCTGGGTGAGAGGAGACACAGTGCTGCATACTTCTTATTTCTTCATATCTGCGGGGCATCTAAAGCAGAAAGCTCCCACCAACGGCATCTTGCACCAACCCAGCGGCATCTTGCACTTTCTGTTCATTCCAACATTGATGTTGCATCCAAAGGCAGCAGCAAAGAGAAAATGCAGCAGTTGTTTTGTGTTCAATGGTCCTGCGATGATTTTAAACAGCAAATCACTGGGAAACTATGAAAATAGGGAAATGGGCAGATAAACTTGGGCCTCTGCCATGTTTCAGCTAAGCCATGTCATGGAGTTATTTATATGGT